GCGGATGATAGGAGCCTGCAAATAATGTGACAACTCATTCCTTCACATAGTGGTGAATCAATCTGCCAACTGCCATTACCCATGCCTCTGGTCACATGGAAGGATATTTTGCTGTGATAATATTTTTTTATTTCTTTTCGTCACTTGTCGTATTACTATGAATGGTCTCACTTGTATATATATAACTTGTGTAGATTCTATTATTTGTATTTAATATGTATATAATTATAATGTTCATACTATGAATTTTATATACCAAATATCAAATCAAACGCATGAGATATGATTTTATATGCCAAATAACAAATCAAATATTATATATAATCAACAACTATGAATTTATGTCTTTGTATAATTTGATCATTTATATATGTTAAATAATACTGGTTATATGGTAACAATTTGTTCGCTTCTCGTCCCACTAATTATATTGATTATATGAAATTAATACTTATTATCGGCTTTTTCATTAATACATATTATTTTGTACAAAAAAAATGTACATATGTATTTGTGTACGTCAATTATCGCATTAATGTATTATGAATTAATTCGTTGGTTGAACGTGGAATAAAAAATTTGTGTGTAATAAAAAGACATACTTGGTAGATAAAAAATTTATATGTAATTAAAATTAGAAATCCATTACATCATTATGAATTTAATAAGTGCTACAATAATTAAAAACCCAATGACCACCAAATAACCATAAACACAAAATGGGCATGCAACTTCAATGAGGGACGGTGTGTCATTCACACTGTTCGTCGGCACATGTGAAGTGCTTGAGTAGTTGGACCCACTAGTGGTATGACGACTAGTTTGTGAATTGGACTGCGGATTACAATATGTTTGAGCAGTTTCCCTCGCAGAAAAAGAGCAATTATTCTCGTCATCCCACTTAAAGCTCCCTGGGTGTTTTATTCCTTCTGGGCATCGAAAAAAATACCTACCATAATTTTTATCTGTTTTAGCCATAAAATGATACATCCGACCACGTCCGCATGAACAGAAGGGTGGGTGAGAGACCATTTTATGAAGTTATGTTCATTTTTCATTTCTCGAACACACCCTTTTTATAGAACCGACTTTTTGTTTTTCCCTCAATTTTGCACTATTTTTCTCCTGTTAGGTCCCGCCAAAAAACACTCTACACCTTCTCTACTTTTTTGACACCTTTTTTTTTTTTTTACCAAACACGCACCATTTCTATGTGCACTTGGTCCCATAACTTGAATGATAATTGGAAAAACTGCCACACCTATATACTTTTGCCCATTCCTTGTGCACAAAGAAGAAAAGGCTGGTCTCATTCATGTTGTACGTAGCATGGGTCAATCCAAGAACAAATAAAAAAAAAAAAGATTGTGAACGTTATCACAACACCACAGTAAAAAAAAGGCTACCACACCACATGCACTGCCATTCTTCGCGCCACTTGATATTAAAGACGCATCAGAAGAAGCTTTTTTTTTCAACTGTTGTACATTATTTTAATCGCTACCACCTAACAATAGCACGCAACATCTTTTATTAATATGCACCCTTGAACTCGAGCTTCTCAAAATAAATGATCGGGACCTCGAAATAAAAATCGATGCCATAAACGGCTTCTTCTCCTCTGGTGCTTTCCCGAAAGCACTTTTCGTTAAAGCTCGAACGCATTTCGAGGCCTGACGGAACCGAACCTAATCGAACCGACGAGAAAAATAAACCTACTACCGAACCGAACCAAATCGAACCGACGAGAAAAATAAACCGAACCACTTGTAACGGTAACCGACTATCCGTTACCGAATCACTATCGGTACAATATCGATTTGAATCCATAAGAGTTCGGTAACACCGATATCGAACCGATAAGGGTAAAAAAAATTAAAACAAATATTTTTTCTTGTAAAATATTAAAATATGGATTATTTGTTTAGTGTTCAAAAATTGAAATAAGGGTTCAACCGTACCTAAATCTCAAAATGACGAGAAAAATACCACCAAATCGCATGATTCTCGTACCACCGTTACTAGATAAGTTAGTTGAAGATGTATCACAAATTTTATTTCTTGCATGTTAGCAATATATATTTTATTAGTTGCATTTACCACAAAAAACACAATCTAATTATATTTAAACTAACTTTTATATATTAAATTTAATTAAACTTTTTAATTCTTCAATGGATTTGTGATAAGTCTTTTGTGTGTATTTTATTTGGTAAGAAGTGAATTAAATTACAAAAATGAAACATTACCTTTTTTTTGTTCAAAATCGGTTCGGTTTTTTCGGTATAAAACCGATAGCGAACCGAGTTTTCGGTTACCGAATTTTTGGTAACCGAATTTAATCGGTTCGGTATCGGTTTGCATTCCGA